AAAAGGCTCTTTCTCACAGAGGATGGTCTCCCAGGCACTGCAAGAGGCTCCTCAGGAAAGTGGTTACAGCACCGAGCTCGACAAGAGCTCAAGGAGTTTGGATAGGGATGACAGGGGCATGGTTGGGATTCCTGGGGGTGTCCTATTGACAAAAGGCTCTTTCTCACAGAGGATGGTCTCCCAGGCACTGCAAGAGGCTCCTCAGGAAAGTGGTTACAGCACCGAGCTCGACAAGAGCTCAAGGAGTTTGGATAGGGATGACAGGGGCATGGTTGGGATTCCTGGGGGTGTCCTCTGCAGGGCCAGGAGCTGGGACCTCTCCAGGTGACGGCGGGGCAAGCCACACACACCACATGCAAGCAGGAAGCCACCACACAGGGCTGCAGCTGCCGTGGTGCACTTTGCCATTGTCAATGGAAAGGTACTCACAAAGTGAGGGGAGAACCTCCTGTTGAAGTCACGCTGAGCCAGGATTCCTCCCTGCCCAGGAGCACTGGTGAAGCCAACCTGGAAAAGGCGGGGAAAAGACAGGCTTTGCCACCTTGCCTCCTCGCTCCAGAACCGGGCAGGGTGAGAGCAACACGGACATGCATCACCTCAACCATGCAGCTCTGGGAGCACGGTCAGGTGTGTCTGCAGGGATCCCATAAATCAGCCACTTACCACCACCTGGGCACCCTCCTGTGCCAGGTACGTGATGGTGGCAGAGGTGAAGTTGAAGTAGCCAGCCTTGAGAGGCCGTAGAACCACAGTGTGGGACACATTGCTGGCTCTGGGAGCTGGACGTTAAGGAACACTTGTAATTTCATCCCGGGAAGAAAAGTGAGGAGATGGGAAAGAGCAAAAGTGCTGCTGACAGATCTGAGTGCTCGTGGTCACAGACAGCCACACCCACCCAAGGCTGACCCAGATGCTCCTCCACAGGCAGAGGAACTACCCCGGGACCTGGTCCTGTCTGCAAGGAACTTTGTTTTTACACTGCACCATCCAGAAGAGCAGCGGTTTGGATCTGCCACCCTGTCCAGGTTCTGGAAGGAATTTTAGGGACAGCAGATGAAGATGGGACAAAGCTGCAGGAGCAAGAAAAAGAGTTGGGAGAAATTTCAAGACATGAAAAGATACGGAGCAATTCTGTCCCACTTAACGTTGAGCATGCCAGAGACGATGCCAAAATCTTCTGGGGGGAAGGAATCATCCGACAGCTCCACATCTAGGGCAGCACTGAACACAACAAAGACAGGGATGAGACAGGAATCTTAAGCTTTGCCATCGGCTCACAGGCTCTGCAGCAAAGTGCACTGACAGGTCCATCTTGACCAAATGGAAGAACTGATTTTTCAGAGATGAAATGTCACCAGTAGAAGATGGGGAGGAGAGTTGAGGTATCTTATAGAAAGACTGCAGAGGAGGAAGGCAAAGCTGAGAGAAAAAAACACAAGGACAGGAAAACCACCATTTTTTCCACAGCACAATTTGGCAATTTGCTGAACTTCAGATACCATCCCATGGATACACATGTTGGCCTAAATAATAACCAAATCCCACATATAAAATTACAGGATCTCATAACTGTTGTATCAATTCAACATTACAGCACCATATATCTTCTGTTGGCAGTACTGTGCTCAGTATGCATTATTCTGCCTTTAAAAAAAATCTAAAAAACAAAATCTCAAAGCCCTTTAACAGTGTCCTGCATTTTGTTCAGTCAGCTTTTCATTCTGGAATGAAGCTTTTTACCAGTGTGCTGGAAGTTCTGTTTTATCTTTGACAGGTCCTTAGTTAAGTCCTGATAGCAAAATGGAATTTTCACTAAAAAGAATAAACGTGAAAAAGAGCTCAGAAAGCAAGAAAGGGAGCTGCATGCGCGGGGAACAGAGTGTCACAGGACACCACAAGAACCACACCACGCTGGACTGACAGCTTGAGCAGCCATGAGGTGAAAGCAGGGACAGGGGAAGAGGAAGGAATAGGCAAATTTCAGGGTAAATCCTTCAGGCATTGCTGGAAAGCTCAGAGTTAGAGGGAGCAAAAGCAACAGCACATCACAGAGCTCAGAAATTGCCTTGTACCCTGCAGCCACACAGAGAACATTTGTTTGTGGCCAGTACTGAAGCCTGGACAGAACTTACCTGGAGCCAACATTGTAGATGTTGTACTGCAAAGTCAAGTCCTTGCCCTCCACTGCATATCTGTTCAACAGGGATTTGGAGGCCAGCAACCTGGCACCATCCTCGCAGTGAGCCACAGACACCAGGGCAAACACGGCAAGCAGCAGGAGCTTCATCT